ACCTCACTTTGCTCCAGAATGGGGGCCCAAACCAGCATTCCTCTTCCATGTTATCCTCACAGCAATGATCCTGTGAGATACCTGCAGGTTAGTCCAAGAGAGGCTGACTAGTCAAAGGTCACCCAGGGAACTTTCATGGCAGAGTGGAGTTCAAACCGGAGTCCCTCAGATGCTAGTAGAATTGCCAGCAGGCCTGGAGGAAAATGCCCCTTTCACAGAAGCTTAATGGGATCAGCTGCCCATTTCAATATACGAAGCGTTTATGAATGGGTCCGGACATTTTTCTCCAGGCAATTCCTAGCAAGATCAACAGGAAGTATTTCACCTGAAGCACAACTAGCTGACGGTCTACAGCCCATTCTTATGAGAGTTTGAACTCTCATGGGATCAGGTGCCCCTAACTGCAGCAGATTGGTTAAGCTGCTGGATATGAGAGAGTGACTTGAACCCCTACCCTAGAACAAACCTCTTCAGTCCAAGCTCAAGCTAGTATGGAACTGCAGTAATATGCGGCTTCGGAGAAGTTCAGTCCATGCCAGTAAATCCAGTTGGTTTAGCCAGAAGAATGGCTACACTTTTCAAACCCCTTGTTGGTGCTCAATAGCTTTTATATATATATAAAAAAAGTGGGGACCTTTTCCTGGAATTCTTCTTCAAACATTTATTTAGGAAACAAATGCTTTAAATATAGGAGAAGCCAATGTAATAGTTGTTCTGGCTACGCCCAGATGGGGGGGGTAGTCCAGGTAAGCAGGTAGTACCTATTTAGAATAAAGTTGGGGTCCAGTGGCAGTTTGGTGTAGCAGATAAGTGTGTGGACTCTAATCTGGGAGAACTAGGTTTGATTTCCCACTCCTCCACTTGCAGCTGCTGGATGATCTTGGGTAAGCCATAGTTCTGTCAGAGCTGTTTTTGAAAGAGCTCTTTCAGCCCCACCTACTTCACAGAGTGTCTGTTTTGGGGAGAGGAAGGGAAAGGAGTTTGTAAGCTGCTCTGAGACTCCAAGTGTAGGACAGGGTATAAATCCAATCTCTTTTGAGAGCCAGTTTGGTGTAGTGGTTAAGACTAGTGGATTCTAATCTGGGAGAACTGGGTTTGATTCCCCACTCCTCCACATGCAGCTGCTGGTGTGACCTTAGGTCAGTCACAAGTTTTTTCAGAGCTGTTCTCTCATAAGAAGTGTTTCATCTAAGCTGAGTTAGTGTGAGCTAGCTCAGTTTTTTAGCCTCCAGCTTGCAGATTTTCATCCTAGCTCAGGAAGGATGACTCCAGAGCAAACTAATTTATGCAGTAGCCAAATCGCTCACTCACAACTTTAATGCCAGTAGCTCACAAAGTAGAATGTTTGCTCACAAGACTCCACAATTTAGAGGGAGCATTGCTCATGAGTGGTTCTCAAAAGAGCTCTCTCAGCTCTACCTACCTCACTGGGTGTCTGTTGTGGGGAAGGGAAGGGGATTGTAAGTAGCTCTGAGACTCCTACTGAAGGGTGGGCATAAATCCAGGCTCCTCTTCCTCCTCCTCTTCTTCAAGACCAACACATTTTTATTCCAGGTATGAGCTTTCGTGTGCAAGTACATTTCTTCATTTGTATCTGAAGAAGTGTAAAAAAGCTGCCTTGAATAAAACTTTGTTGGTCTTCAGGGTGCCACTGTGAAGTGTAGTGGGTTAGACGCATGTAGAAACCACTAATATGGATGTAGTGATCAGCATGGTTACTGGTACACAACAAAAACAAAGACTACTGGCCGGCTGGCAAACTATATACACACCTGGGGACACTCCCCTAGGTCCCATTGGTGGGTTTAAATTTCCCCTCACGGTCCTATTGGTTCCCCAGTGGAGAGACTAGGAGCCTAGTCCCCATTGTTCCTACAGAGTCAAGCTC